TAGTGGCGTGAGGTTGACTGTATGGAAAATATTGATTTTCAGCGCCATATTTATTTATTTGTAGACCGATTGTGTGTCTATAATAGGCTATAATTATTGCTTTGTGTTTGACAAAGCGCTTGCAATTATCCTATGTTGTGAAAATAAATAGGAAATAGAAGTTTTATTATTTAATTTCATAATTAAATAGCCATTGACTGGGGGTTTATAATTTTCATGATAATTTGTGTTTGTGTTTTCGTAGTACTGTTTAAAAATCTATACATATACATTTTAATTAGTTCAGTTCACTATGAAAATGTTCACCAAATTTAGTTTCCGTAAATTAGAGTAAGACAATTTAAATGATATTTATTTAAGTTTATGCTATTTTTATTTTTGATTCAAGTATATTATGGTATTGCTCAACCGTTGATTGCGTGCTTATAATAAAATTATCATAATTTATATATAATGATACTGTAATTTTGCATCTTTATAGTTTCGATAATGCGATACGGCGATGTTATAACGATTATTATATACAGAACTAATCTAGTTGTCAATTTCCTTGAGTAGAATGAAAAAATAATATCCATATATTATCCATTTATAATGTGGCCTAGTAACGGTGAAAATATTAATAACTTGGTTTTGTGTCGAAAAAAATATAAAGATTTTTTACTCTGATTTATGAAGAAGCTTTTTATAGAACTTTGCCCGAAATAGAGTGGTTGCTAGCGGGTGTGTGTGCCTAGCGGACTAGTACAGTTTGTTGGACAGCGCTCAGAAGGTGCCATTAAAGTCGTACAAGAAGTTTACAGGCTACTTATGTACTTAGCACATCGACTATAAGACTACACGACGGCTAAGCACACAGAAACGACACGAAGGCGTGGTCTTATCGTACGACTTAAGACTTGAGCATGTTCCTAAACATCAAAACAAACCCTCAATCTTGCACTTTGAAACTAAACTTCTAAAGCTAGCTTAATTTATTATCTTCATAGTTTATACAGCGCTAAAACATCAACTACATACATTAAAATAATATAATTACGTCATTTAAATTAAGTACCTTATGTAACACACAATTTCACTGATAATGTTAATAGATAATAACCTCTTTGGACTCTAGCTTGATAATTCATATCGAAGTCTAAACGTGGTCTATCTTCACGCCATTAATATCAGTGGGTGTGGCTTGCAATCTGTACGATTATGATAAATACTTCCTTCTTCGTTTCGAACTATTGTTTGCAGAATATCATACATGTAAATATACATAATTGTATTTCTATTAGACAATTACTTATTGTAGTGCTAAGATTGTTCAATAGTATTAGTCGTTATTCAAAAATAGTTATTGTTGCGTATTATATAAGGAACATTGATACTAGTTAAAGAATTGTGAATCAAGGTCCAGGGCACGTTTGTGTCGCAACATGTCGTCATATTTCTTGAGCCAAGGTTCCGTATTACTTATTCTAGCTACCGATAACTTGTGTGCCTGGATACTGTTATCGGGACTTGTGCTTTTTAGACTACTTTGAATAAAACGACTTGTACTTACACTCGACACTACTTACTTTAATTTTTAAGGAAATCAAGCAAGACGTATTACGTTTATTGTTAGGTTTATCTATTA